AATCAGCGGCTCGAGCTAAGTCAAGATCACCATTTGATTCTTCTCCGCCCAGAATAGCTTTTAATAATTCGATAATGGGCTTGATGTCGTGCTCCAGTCGCTCACAGTCGTACGTGATTGGCTCAAACTGAGCGAGGAATAGCTCTACGTTAAGTCCCACCCTCGAATGCTCTTGGAGAGATACCACCGTCGAGCGTACTTTCTCGTAATCTTTCAGACCACCATTGATCAAGTAATGTGCGGTTGACTGCCGATAACCCCCATCTGCATGCTTACGACGAGACCTTTCCCTCAGAGCATCGATGCTGAGCCAGAGTGCCCAATCTTCTATAATGTCAACCGGGATACTCCCACTATGAACTATGTACGTTCCAAAGGGGTGACTATGTTCTCTCCACTGATCCCGGCTTATGCTGGCCACATCAAGTGGGTAGAAATAACATCTTGTCCCCTTAATCTTGACCAAAATCTTCGCTATCGTGCAGACGAACTCCTCCCAGTGTCGCCAGTCAGGTCGAGCCCCGGCGACGATCGGCTTCCCCTTATTCTTGTTAGGAATAGTTCGCTTGCACTCGAGCTCACACGAACCATTCTTTTGCCTATCTTTCAGCTTCTCGAGGGTGGTGCTCTTGTTCATCCGCAAGTAAGGATTACGCAAGTAAGTGCGAACAACATTATAGATATGACCCTCATATATGGCGAATGGGCTATATGCGAACCCCTGTTTCTTAGATGATAAGCCACCGCGTCAACAACCTCCCGTAGCTTTACAATATCTCGCTCAAGCACGAAGTTACTCCGTCCATGTCGCTGGATTCATCTCCCGAGGATGCATAGCTGCCATGGTGGTCTCCATCATCGGTGAAGCTGGGATCTCCTTTTTGATCTGCTTCGCCAGCCTCACTTGACGACTCACAGATAGGATCATCTGATCCGGGTTCTCGGTGTTTAACTGCACTATTTTCTGCAGGAGAAGAAATAGAGTTGGTGGCGTTCCGTGGTTGAGAGATAGAGTTATCATGAACAGCCGAACTGCTGGAATGAGACTCCCTCTGTGTAGTTGACTGTCTCTCGAGGAGATCGTCTACAGCCTTCGTGAGATCACTTTCCGAGTAACCCTGCGTAGATTCACCATTCAGGATATCCGACAGCTCATCGCAAAATTTTAGTTGCAACTCGGGAGGGAAACTAGATAGCCTCGTCTTGAGCTTGGAGTTGAGGCTACAGTACACAGCATGATTAATCGCACTTCGGGGTAGGTATCGCCTTCCTTACACTACGGGACTTACTAGATGAGTAGTGTAAGGCTAGAATGACCTCATTCTCAGCGTTGGCCACGACAGAATGCATCACACTCTCCAACCGTGAGTCACGGCTCTCTGGCGAGGTAGACTCGATTCGTCTTGGGCATTCAGGTTTGGCACGAGACGAGCCCGATGGGACACTTCGCTGCAAACGTACCAATATATCCTCATCCTGGCACTTATCGTCGAAGGCCACACAGGTTTGATTCATATAAAATACCGGGCTGAGCTTCTTGATATCACCGTTCGTATTACGCATCGGAAAAATCTTGATACGATCGCTCCGGCCGACTCGAGACATCGTAGTATACAATGCTCCCTGTAACCAGGGAGCGCTCCAGAACTTCCGCACGATATCGCCTTGCTTAGACGGGGATTCTTGAAGCAGTAGCCAGACACCACATACGGATAGACCAACGTTGCGGTGAGCAGTCATCGCAAAGCATAGAGTGACAGGTAACTGCTCGCGCTGAAATATAGTGCCTCCGTTCGGAGCGGAGACTGTGAATTTCTCAGGTCGAACGTAGATTATTGGACCACCATCATCTACTCTCACAGTAACAGTTGGTTTACTCAGATCGTGACCAGTAATGGATTCAACCGTCCCCATGGTCCCATTCACATAAGCGCGAGAGGGATGATTGTATGTCATCATCACTCTACATCCAATACGTAGCACGAGTCGCTGCTTGAAGCCGAGCTTCTCAACGGCTGCATAGTCGAAGTCGGCAGGAGTGCTGGCACACACGATATCCGAGGCGAGCAGCACGAAATCTGGACCAGGTAGGGATTGGAGATGATGTTCGTTCAATTTGTCGACTTGCTGATTTGTCAGACATATCGTCACATGATCGAATCTGCATGAACCGGCAAACATCAAATTCGAAACAGACTAACATAATCCCATGCTCTACATTGGTGGCTTCTTCCCTCCGTCTCTGTCTCTCACCTTCTCGAGAGTGGCCAGCGCTTCGGCTGACAATTGAGGAACCCCCGGTCGAGCTTGCGGCTTAACTCGTATCTCAGCCAACAGACTGAGCTAGTCTGTGTCTGATCCTCCACCTCTGTGGAATTGTCACAAATAGAGCACCTGCGGCGGCATGTGGCTCCAGGCAATCCCTTCCCAACAATATCCCGTGGGAAGATGGATAATGCTGAAGATGGATATTGTGGCGAATTTTCTTTGAGCTCCATCCTGCCCAATTGGCAGGCATCGCCACTGAATATCACAGCCATACCACCAAAGGGCTCGTGACATCCAGGCAAGCCTCTACGTAATTCCTGATATGCAGCGGATAATGCAGCCAACACCGTATCATGGACGGCAACAACCTCATCGAATATCAAGATTAGTTCACGGTCGCGAATTCGCTGGCGCAAGCCCCGGCGGGTTAGACCACTGATCATGCGTCCAGTGAGTTCAGTACGGCACCGCATATAACCAGTATCAGCAACAAGACCGCTCCTGTCAAATTCGAGACCACAATACGACATAATGGTAACTCCACCGAGGGTTTGAGAAGCTATTCCAGCCCAAATAAGCGCCACTGTTTCGTGTTGATCAGATACGGCAGATATGATATGCTTCAGGAGATGGGTCTTTCCCGTACCGGCGAAGCCAGTGATGTAGAAGTATTTCTTGCCATCAGGTTTTCCCAACTGGTCGATAATATGATGGAGAGCATATTCCTGGTCACCGTCTAAGGCTTGGACTGTGGAATGCTGCGCCATATGTGAGTGAGCTTGGAGCAACAACTGCATGAATTTAAATAACTACCAAGAATTCTCATTTCCCGCTTCAGATTCATGGAATTGATCGAGAACGTATGTAGCGATTGAGCAATATGAGGGTGGCAGTGGGCCACTGCCAGTGACTCGAACTGTCACTGGCAGTCTGTCGGTATGACAGTGGTCACCAGTGTTTTACCATCGTGGTGGCATTTTGTATCGTTGCTGCTAGCAAGGTTGTGACATTGGCTATTAATAGAGGCCTAATATCATAGCGATGGTTGTTACTATCCGTGTGGCAGTGGTTGCTACTGTTGCAGTTATCAAGGTTGTGGCATAGGCTATTGTTATGGCAGTGGATGCTAATGTTGTTGCTATTGTTGCTGCTACTACCGTGGTCACATTTGCTCTAGTGCGGCCATGAATGCTACTGCGGGTGTGGCAATGGTTACAACTGTTGCTGGTACTAAGGCTGTGGCACTGGCAATTGTTATGCCACTGGAGGCTGGACGTGGCTGCTGTTGTTGCTGCAAATATTGTTGTGACATTTGGTTCTGTACAATTCAATCGTATTAATACCACACCTTTACACCCCTTTATTGACAAATCCAATAAGGCAGCACAAGAAATGGACGAGCATCCAGATGCTTCTGGAACAGATTGATTCCCGCGGACACCCAGTGTAGACCCCCCTCTCGGCGGAGATTCTCCGCCGTAGTTATGGACCGAGCTCTTACCTGGTAGTTCAATCCCGACACCCCACAGAGAGAGCTGCATCGATAATCGATCAATGAGTTGTCCAAAATCGGCTCTTGACATTACTTGGGTTCTATGTGGCAACGGCCAACTACACTCTTATCAGATCATCTATACGAGACGACGTCTTTCCCCCCCAAACTACTTCAACCCAATTTAAACGCTCACAAATAGACAAGAGGAGTTCATTGCCACATCAGTGCTAACCGATTTTCGAGTGAAATGGTCGGGCGATGGTTCATTGCTGATGGATGCCCTTGGATCTGGAGGTAGCCACCTTGATCCCTGGGCTTCATATGCATAGCATACGCGTACATGTAGCCTACGTGTAGAGTCGCCTCGCGTCAGGATGATAGACAAAGTCGTCCATTGTGAGTTCGGTCACTCGCAGGCAGCAAATATTGCTGTTAGTTGACATACTAACATATAAAATAGTACCTGAGTACCAATAAATATCTGTATCTATTACTATGCAAATGCACTGGTTTCCATCCATCTAAATCGGCATCCGTATAGACATACGGATGGGGTCGTATAACTTCAGATGTACCATCATCATCTATCTCGATATCATACAAACCTCTAACGGCAAGTCCTGCACGCTCGCTTCATGCGAACGTGCGACACATAGGAGTAACGATGCTGACTCATACCTGTCTCTCAATGGGTCCACTTATTAGTGGTTCGTCCCCAGACTGGGGATCCCAGTCTTCAACACATACAGTCTTCTTCGTTTCGGTGAGCGTTGCACGCGAGTACATAGCTTTTGCGTAGGGGTGTGACAGGTAGGAACATTTTCACATCTCGCTCTCACGGATAACCTTGACCCATTCAGCGGACTTGCTGACACATGTTCCGGAATTTGGAATAATTCAACCGGGCTCAATCTAGAGTTCTAGCGGAACGACACCATATAACCCGAGGAGGAATCTTCTGCCGGAGAAGAAACTCAACGGTATCGACCACACACTTCGCCTGTGTAGCAACAGTATTTCCTATCTCATAGTTCCAATATCGCCACTCTGTCATCACAGAGATGCAGTCAGTTTACCTCGCTCACAATTGGGCCTTTTCAGCTACCGTATAAAACACTATTCTTGACGATTCACTACGCCTATTCTTTACTATCAGTCCCTCGTCGGTAAGATCGGCATCGATCATCGGGCGGATATTATCGAAAAGCATCTCAAGGCTAATACTGACGTCAGCTGCTGCCCCTTCGCTATTGGACATTAGGAGGCAGGATGGAGTTATAGATCCGTTCGGTAGTAGCAAAGAAGTCCAACTAGGAGGCATTCAAGATCGAGATCAAGGCATCGGGATGAATTGGTTGTATCGTCTAGCGATAGGAGTGATAGGGACTGTATTCATGAGTAGTATAAAATAATGTACTCCTAGAGGCTGTACCTTCTTCTCCCCATCCTCGCTCGCACTCGTAGTAGGTTTCATCACACTTTTGACATATGCCACAAGCTCCTACTCAAATGGCAACGTGTTCTACTACTCACCCTTCTCGTGTCTCCGACTTCCATGTCATGCGAGGGTCATGAGTCTTCTTGGTAATGATCTTGATAACCCGTGTATCGAGTGTCCGTCTTGTCGTGTTCCCCGAATAGGATAGTTCATCAGTTCGACTATCGTATGGCCATCAAAGTGGCTTGTCGACTCTCAAAGACATTCGCAGGTATTAGGAAAAGTGATGACGTGACGTGCAGACGTGCGCTATGGAGAGGTTTCTATGATGCTAAATATAACGAAACCATCGGAGATGCAACACTCGTTGGTGAGGCTGTGATCTATCATGCCTGGGGTCCCTCTGAGGGAGTATGTTTGCCAATACAGATAGCACGAGTGGTGAATAACCTACAACAAAGGATTGAACAATAAATATATTTGATCGAACTCTTATCCACCATCCAACTATGTTAATCAACTGTATAGCTAGTTACCCTAAATCCACAGTCGGAGATTGTGAAGTATTGTGATAGTGAAATCTCAACATTCTGTGACACCAGCCCAGAACTCTCTTGAAAGAACCTGCATATCTCGGATGCACCCGATCGAGTCGAAGTGGAATAATAAGTCCTCATAATCAAGATCCTCCGAATTGTATTCGTCGGTTCATTCTCCATTTCATAACGTTTGGTAGTCACGTATTTTTACCCCTCCTCCAGCCACACATTGGCGGTGCCAATTTGGCACCCGGAACTCCTCGGCGTCAATATGATATATTCACTATGTGAATACGGATTGAGATCGGACTGCGGATTCTATTAGTGCAGTGCAATATCGTGCCACGATATTCAGCATCTCTCGAACGAGACCTTGGACGGTTTTCAGGATGAAGTTAACATCTTCCGACAGTCGGATAGTCGCAACTTTTCACGACAGTTAACACTGAAAAACCGTCATTCAACTCGAGACTGTAACTTCCAATTCTGAGTCCGATTGAATTCTACCATGCTCCGTTCGAGCGTATCATGTTCGGGCCTCCACAGCAATCTCGGATCAAATGATGCCCCCTATCGCTCGACAGCCCTCACTATCGAAAACCGTTTCGTATGCTAGGCTGTACAGCATCTGCAACGTGTTCAATAGATGAGATTGATGGGGCGGACATGCATGTATCGTCGTGTATGAAGTAGTTATGATAGAGGCAGCACCAACTGCAGAACCCATCCACATTCCATCGACACCATATTGACATGCTTGAGGACAACTAAGACGTGGAGGAAATTTCGAGAAATCGAGAATGCAAAATTTCGCCTTGGGTTTACTGTCTTACCGATAGTAGATAGTGTAAGAGTGTATAATATGATAATATAATAGCTGATAGTGTTCACTGGGACATCGTTGTATACCTTTAGTTTGCAGTCTTGATACGGATGCATACGGATAACGATCATCATCTTGAGAGCACTCCCTGCAGCAGACAGTCACTCTGAGTGAGTAAATCGAAGTAGGACAGGATAATGCTTAGTAGTAGTAGTAGCGGCCTTACTAGATATAATTCATAGGCCGCCGCCGCCGCCGCTACCTGATGGCTGATGAAATAGCTGGTATGCTGTTGCTGCTGCTCGGGAAGCTGCTCACATCGGGTTCCTTCTTGGCGTGACGAACCCGAACTATTGATTCTCTGAAGGTACATAGAAGAAGTACATGTACCACGATGATGATCATCGATCCACCAATCACGAGAATCAACGATTCTCATGTCGCCCCGATCCCTACAGTTTCGCCAGATGCAGGTCATCATCATCATCATCACCACCTTTGCACTGAACACCAACATCTGCACTGAACATCTGTTATAACAATAACGAAGAAGAGGTTGCAGAGCGAAACATGTGCAATTGATTGAAGTCATGCAATA